CCCCAAAACCCCAAAACCCCGTAATGTAAAATAATAGCAAAACTCTTGAATTTATATTTGAATCACTTCTAAATAGATTTTAAAATTAGCTGAGTATTAAAATTACCATTAGTTCATTTAAGGAATTTATGGAATTAAATTCTAACTTGTTCACTTGTAAGGAGCCTTGTTAAGGCTACCTAAGAATTTATATACTTTGTGGACGACAGGAATTGGTAAGTATTTTTAAGATTCTCCTTGAATACAATGCCAATAAGCACCATTTGTATCATCTTGCACTCCAACAGCTCTTAATTCCCCAAAAGAAACTTAACCTGGCTTTACAAAGAGAGGATCTTATTAAAACTAAGTCATAGGAGTTGTAACTCCACTTGGTCTAACAATCAGTGTATCTATCTGCTTATCAAAGATCAGCCCGTAGTGATTTGCAGTCTGACCAAACATCTTTCCGAAAACATCATTAAATCTCTTCGTAGCGCTATATTAGGCATGGAAGGGAAGAGGTAATTAAGATAAAATTGAAGATAAGTGAACAAATGCTGATTTGTTTTAATTCTACTTAACTAAGAGCCTTGTATATTTAGTCATAAATACCTAAGTAAAGATATTGACTGTTATCATATCTTGTACTCTTTGAGGATCTAATTCTAAGAATTTAACTTGATCATTGATTCCTACATTGTTGAAAAGTAATGTCACATTTTTATCATTGATTTACTCAAACATTTCCTTTATATCATGGGGTTAGGCACTTGCAAAATCAATAGGAATTTTCTATACCTTTATATCAGGATTAATGTCCTTGCACTATCTGGCTACTTGATCTAATTTATCAGCAGATCTTGACGCTAATATTAGGTTAAATCCATGTCTAGCAAGATCCTAAGCAGTTGATTTGCCAATTCCATCTGATGAACCAGTAACTAGTGCATAAGCATCTTTTCCTCCATAGAGTTTTTGCAATCTACTCCTATTTGTTTCTTTATCGCAAGATTATCTCATAAATTAGTTGTAATATGTTCTTGAAAGTGCTAAAATAGGCTGAGAAACTTAGTAAAGTCCAATTAAAAATATCAGTCTCTTGCTATTGTTATAGATACTCATTTTTAATTATAATTATAATTTTGATTTAATAAATAAGCATGTTTTTCTCATTGATACATAGCATTCAATCTAATGGGGTTTTGGGGTTTTGGGG